CACTCAGGCTCTCATACTAGTCTGTTACAGGATTGAACACCACCAACCGACTCCAGTTGCCATTTGTAGAATAATTCACCCAAAACAGCAGACAGACATTCTTCTCAAATGCATATGGACCATTCATCAAATTAGACCTTATCCTGGGCCGTAAAAGAAATCGTAACAATTATAAATATATTATAAGAAGTATGTTCTCTGACAATAATGTAATTAGACTAAAAACTATAAAAGGGAAAATGAAACAAAAAAATAAGAAAATATCCTAAACAACTGAAAATTAAATAACACACTTCCAAATAATCCATAGGTCAAAGAAGTCTCAAGAAAAACTAGAACATATTTTGAACTGAAGAAAAATGAAAATATAACACTGTCAAAATGTGTGAGATGTGACAAAGCAGTGTTTAGAGAAAAATTTATTATATTAAATACACATACTACTAAAGAAGCTCTCAAACCAATGATGTAAGCTTCTACCTAAAGAAACTAGAAAACAAATATAAACCCAAAATAAACATAAAGAAAGAACTAATAAGACCAGAAATCAATAATAAAAGAAGCAACACCACTATAGAGCCTACATACATTTTCTTCTTAATTTTTTATTTTTGAGAAACAAAGAGTGTGAGTAGGAGACAAGTAGAGAGAGAGGGAGACACAGAATCCGAAGCAGGCTTCAGACTCTGAGCTGTCAGCACAGAGCCCGAAGTGGGGCTTGAACTCACAAACTGTGAGATCATAACCTGAGCTGAAGTCAGACGCTCAACCGATTGAGCCACCCAGGTGCCCAGAGCCTACGTATAAAAGGATAATAAGGTAATAATGTTTAAGAACAACTTTACGCTCATACATTAAACAACTTATAGAAGATGTACAAATTCTTAAACAAATTGCCAAAGCTAACTGAAAAAGAAATAAACTAAATATTCCTGTATCTATTAAAGAAACTGAATTCATAGTTAAAAATCTTCCAATAACCTTCAAATTCAATCTAGTAATACCATCATGCCCTAGTGGGGTATCTCCTGGGAACACAAGGTTGACTTAACTTTTGTACATCAAAGGACACTATCATCAGAGTTAAAGGCAACCCATGGAATGGGAGAAAATAGTTGCAAACCATGCATCTGATAATCAGGGGTTAACATCCAGAATATATAAAGAACTCCTACATTTCAACAACAAAGGAACAGCCTGATTAAAAACTGGACAGAAGAGGCGCCTGGATGGCTCAGTAAGTTAAGCATCCGACTTTGGCTCAGGTCAAGGTTTCACAGTTCATGAGTTCGAGCACCATGTCAGGTGAGCTCGAGCCCCACACTGAAAGTGCGAAGCCTGTGTGGAATTCTCTCTCCGCCCCTTACTCTCTCCCTCCTCCATCTCTCTCTCTTCCCGTTGTGGGATTCTCGGTCTCTGCCCCTTCCTTGCTCACTCACGCCCTCTCTCTCTCACTTGCTCACTAAAAAATAAATGGAATAAAAACTGGACAGAAGACACAAATAAGATACCTTTCCAAAGATGTTGTGCAAATGGCCAATAAGTACATGAAAAATTCAACGTCAGGAGTCATTAGAGAAATGCGAATCAAAACCACAACGAGATACCACTTCACACACATTCACATCAGGAGGACTATGATCAAGACAAGAAAAAGACAAGTGTTGGCAGTAAGAATGAGGAGACAGGAGACACTGGTGGCGCTGGTGGGTCTGTACAATGTGTAAAAGGATGCCGCCCTTGAGGACAGCAGTTTCATGGTTCCTCAATGAATTAAACACAGAATTACCATGTGATGCGGTAATTCTACCTCTGGATAAATACCCAAAAGAACTGAAAGGAAGGACTGAGGCAGCTCTTCCTATCCAAGGGTCCTATCCCTGTACTTTAATAAAATCACCTTTGTGCACCCCCCCGAAAGAAAAGAGAAAAAGAAAGGACTCAAAGAGCTCTTTGTACGCTCATGTTCATAATAGCATTATTCACACCAGCCAAAAAGCAGAAACCACTCAAATGCCCAATGACAGATGAATGGATAAACAAAACACAGTACATACACCCAGTGGAATATCACTCAGTCTTAAAAAGGAAGTACGTTCTGGGGCGCCTGGGTGGCTCAGCCAGCTGAGCATCCCACTTCAGCTCAGGTCATAATCTCATGGTTTGTGGGTTCAAGCCCTGCATCATGCTCTGTGCTGATAGCTTGGAGCCTAGAGACTGCTTGGGATTCTGTGTCTCCCCCTCTCTCTCTCTGTCTCTCCCCTGCTCATGCTTTGTCTCTTTGTCTCTCTGTTTCTCTCAGAAAAATAAACATCAAAAAAAAAAGGAAGTTCTGAGACACACTACAGCATGAATGAACCTTGAAGATACGAGTGAAATAAGCCATTCACAAGAGGACAAATTCTGTATGGCTTCACTTACAGGAGGCAGCCAGAGGGGCTAGCTCATAGATACAGAAAGCAGAATAGTTGCCAAGGGCTGCGGGACAGAGTTTCAGTTTGGGAAGATGAGAAAAGTGTTGGAAATGGAAGGTGATGCTTGCACAACAATGTGAACAGAATAATTAACGCCACTGAACTGTATACTTAAAAATGGCTAAAATGGGGGGCGCCTTGGTGGCTTAGTCGGTTAAGCGTCCGACTTTCGCTTAGGTCATGATCTCGCAGTTTGTGGGTTCGAGCCCCGCGTCAGGCTCTGTGCTGACTGCCAGCTCAGAGCCTAGAGCCTGTTTCAGTCTGTGACTCCCTCTCTCTCTGACCCTCCCCTGCTCACGCTGTCTCTCTCTCTCTCCTAGAAATAAATAAAACATTTTTTTAAAAAATGGCTAAAATGGTAAATTATAGGTCATGTACAAGGTCCTGGTCAATAGAATACAACAGAGAAAAATAAATAAAAGTCACGACGCTCAGAAATGAATGGAAAAAACACAGATACATGACTGTCTAAAGAGAAGATCCCACAGAAGCTAAAAAAGAACTCCTAGATCTGATAAGTGATTTTAGCAAGGTCCCAGGACACAAGATTAATACACTAAAATCAGTTGTACTTCAGTATGATAGTAATGAACAATATGGAAATTGAAAATTTTAGCACTATACAACTTATAAACTATTGCTATATAAATCTAATAAAAATATACAAACCCTGTATGCTGATAATCATAAAACATTGATTTCTTTAAGTCAAAAAAGATCTATTACAACGAGCACTGGGTGTTGTAGTAAGTGGTAAGTCACTTAATTCTACTCCTGAATCCAATACTACACTGTATATTAACTAATTTGAATTGAAATAACAGTTTGGAAGAGAACACCAACAACAAAAACAAAGACATAAACAAATAAAGAAATACATCATGTTCATGGATTGGAAGACTCTACGTGGTTAAGAAGTCTGTTCTCCCTTAATTGTTCAACTGAGCCAGTGCAATCCCTACCAAAATCCAGCATGTTTTTTTGTAGAAACCAACGACCTGACTCCAAACTTGATGTGATAATGCTGGCTGGCTTCAGGCCATCTTCTCATCTCCTCTAAACTCTCCCTCTAGATAGTCTCATCCCTAAGCACAGGCTCCAACAACATCACTACCAAAGATGGGTTCTGAACATAAACTTCACTTCTTGAGCAAAGTCCTCATTAGAGAAGGAAGTTCTCATCAGAGGAGGGAACTAACTAGAAAAACAATTCAACCAAAGGACAGATGGTGAGAAGTGAAAGTAGTACGGTTAAAAATAGAAAGAGAATTATAGAGAACATGCCAGATGATGGAACCATACACAGGATACTTCAGGAAGGACCGCCTTTGTTTCAGCAAGACCCATGGCTACATGTAATCATCTAAAATACGCAAACCCTCTGAAGCTCTAGGATGGACCACTTTGGTCAGAGAGAGGTCGCAGCATCCAGGATATCACTAGCCTATTCTCTACCAGACTTGTTGAAGGTTGAGTTTGGGACACAGCCTCCCTCAGGTTCAGAACAAGAATAAAGGGCCCCGATGACACCTAAGAAATTAACACAACAGCTCAGAAGGCTTTTCTTCACGTGGGAAGAGTAAAGTACAACGCAAGGCACTGGTCAGGTCCACATGTATCTCGTTTTGAAACAAGAAACTGACAACAAGTAAGACAGACAAATGCCTTTTCAGGTAGTTAGCACAATTTATCCTGAATACTTCCAATGAAAAATACTGAGCTTTTAGATTTTCAGAGGTGGCTGTATTAGACAACCGTGGCATACGGCTTAGAGTGACTTCATGGAAGCCAAATGTCGTTCTCACCCACTGAACCCAGTCAGCAACAGAAATGCTCCGCCTCTGAAATCAACCAGCTTGAATGTTTCCGCCTCTGGCCCTAACTTCCTTCCTGTGTGGTCTCTACTAACTTTCACCTACAGGCTGTGAAAAACACGAGGCCCCTCCCCGGCACCCACTCTCCTCATCCGGTAGTCGGTGGGGCCTGCGCCTCCCGTGCTACCGTTGTGATTGGCGTTACCTCACAAGCGACCTGCTACAAACCTGATCCAATGGATTCTCAAGTGTTTTATCATTTCTACCACACTTAACAGGTTATCGCCCTTCCAACCTGAGGCTCTGTTGCTTTCACTTTTATGACACCTCTCCCTCCTGGTTTTCTTCTTTGTACTTTAATCTTGGTGGGGTTTGGGTGTCACTGATTTGTGAACTTACTGCGCCCAAACATATCTATGACATAGTGTGTCATGAGTTTTGGTTTACTTGTTTTTTTCTGGCCACTGCCCTGTCAAGTTCTTGAGGACAGGGATGGCTTCTTTCAATTCTGTAACTCCTAATCTCTGAAAAAAACACAGTAACTTGGGAAGTCCATAATAAATAAAACTAGGTGTTGGATTCTGTAACTGTTTAATTTTACTAGGATACTGTGAAACAGACAGGTCTTTTGGGGGATACACATTCTGACTGGTCTATTAGTGACATTTCATTTCACAGAAAAGATTCAAAAATAACAAACTTCCAAACATACCAAGCCACTGTTGCTGAGATATTTCACACCAGTATTTTCTCACTGTGAGAATATCCTTGAGCAAGAGGTTGCTGCAGTCGGCTCCAAAAACATTACCATTAAATGAATCTTTCACTGTTTCCATGATATAATTCAAGAGTTCTTGACATTTCAGTCTGGGTGCTCCTATTTAAAAATAAACAAGTAAATAAAAATATGCAAATCTTAAGAAAAACAAGAACACCTGGAATTACAACTATATAAATAATTCCACTTGGGAAATTACTATTAACTAACCTCTTTCTCATGGAGCAGCGATTAGCAAACTGTGGCCCATGGGCAAAGTGCAGCCAGCTGCCTGTTTTGGAAAATAAAGTTTTACGGGGCCACAGCCACGTCCATTCTTTTATGCATTGTCTACAGCTACTTTCATGCCACAACAGCGGAGGTGAATAACTGAGACAGAGACCAGAGAGCCCGAAAAGTCGAAAACATTTATAGTCTGGTCTGGTCCCATGACAAAAGAAGTTTGCTGATCTCTATGTGAATATATAGCAAAGACAATCATTCATCCTATCCTTAATAATTCACAATTTCTGGCATGATCTAAAATGATCTAATGTTTCTTGGTACTTTTTAAAAAGAATGAATTCACTAGAATAACCTGAGATTGTAAGGAGGATATTTACTTTGAAAACCAAATTACTTTCAAATCCTACAATAGCATGTAAGACATGTAAGTATGTAAGACAGTAATATTTCTACTTTTATTTATTAGAGTTCCTAAAAATTCACTACTAATAGGTATCTTATTGAAGGTAACAAAAGGACATTTAAAAACTGTTTCTTATTTTCAGCAAATCACACTGATATTGCAGCTAAAATTTTATTGTATTTCAACATTAACAATCTTAAAACCACCCGTAACATTTTTTTGTTATAAGCTATCAGCAGGTCACAAGTGAAGACATATCTGATTATATTCTCGTTTAGCATTTTCTTATGGTGAGAACCATCAAATTATGATAAATAAATATACTCTGACATAATTTGAGTATCATTTCCACTTGCAGCTTACATCATAATTTTAGGCACCTGTGGCCAATAATGAAATTCACACTCCCACAATCCTCTGCTTTAACACCCTGTGCATCTGTCTTTTACATTGTCTTATCCATAACATATGTTATATTATAACCTCCCTAAGGAATTAATTAATCTCTATATCGCAACACAACCCAGTAACTGTCCTAAATAGTATCTGTTTAGGTTTACTAAACATTTATTGAGTAACTACATCAATTAATGTCAGGATGAAATCACATTTCCCTATGGTCTTAGTCCTAACATATTTCCTTCCTCTGCCAAATTTGAGAAATGCCTCAAGAATTATGCTGACATTCTTTTCTAAAAAAAAATCTGCCTCCAGAGGACAACTAAGTTGGCTGAAAAGGATTTAAGGCACCTCATAGAACTTAACGTTTTGCACATGTGCTTTGGGCAGAAGCAGATAAATGCCTCCATAAAAGAAGGAACAGTGTTTGCTAAGTGGTTCCTTCCCAGCTATCTTTTTTTAATCTGTTTCTTTCATCTACCTTGAACATCAATGCTAAATAAGCCTGGCAAAGTCTGGACATGTGTTTCAATTCCCATCAATTCTCCCAACTCTTTGAAAAACACAACGAAGTGAAATGGCATGATAGAAACACTCTAATTTTGTTCTGAGATGAAAACCATTTAAGTTACAAAGTCAAACCTGAAACTGGGACCCTTGGGTGGCCCAATCAGTTAAGCATCCGACTTCAGCTCAGGTCTTGATCTCACAGCTCATGAGCTCGTGAGTTTGAGCCCCGCATCAGACTCTGTCCTGACAGCTCAGAGCCTGGAGCCTGCTTCAGATTCTTTGTCTCCCTATCTCTCTGTCCCTCCCCCACACTCACACTCGCTCGCTCTCTCTCTCTCTCTCTCTCTCTCGCCCCTTCAAAAATAAACATCAGAAAAAATTTCAAAGTTAAACCTGAAGGAAAAGGAAGCCTCAAATAAAAACAACCAATTTTTAAACATTTAAATGATCTTATATTGATAATTTCATCTACTTATTCCTGTAAACCAAAATATTGATACTTTCACACATTTTCAAATGTGACGTCCACTGTTAATTTTGCAGTTGAAGGTCTTTTCACTCTAAAGCAAAATTACAGGGGTGCCTGGGTGGCTCAGCCAGTTAAGCGTCTGACTTCAGCTCGGGTCATGATCTCACAGTTTATGGGTTCGAGCTCCACGTCAGGCTCTGTGCTGTCAACCCAGAGCCTTGAGCCTGCTTCAGATTCTGTGTTTCCTTCTCCTTCCGCTCCTCCCCCACTCATGCTCTGTCTTTCAAAAATAAATAAACGTTAAAAAAAAAAAAAAAAAGCAAAATTACATGCTACAAACTTTTCTGGGGAGCTACAAATGGGGATCTTTCTCTCCCTAACTAAGTACGGATTAAAATCTATTTAACTGAGGGCTGATGGGGGTGAGGGAGAGGGGAAGGGGGGTGATGGGCATGGAGGAGGGCACTTGTTGGGATGAGCACTGGGTGTTACATGGAAACCAACTTGACAAAACACTATGAAAGAAAAAAAAAATCTATTTAGAACCCAATGTCAGTAGCCAAGAAATCAAATTTTAATAAATGCAAGGCTATCATATTGGGAATAAGCAGTTGCAGAGTATTTTAGAGTAGCTTTCCTCTGTCAGTGCTGGAGCCCCGGACACAGGCTTGCCCCTATCCACACAACTGGCATCTCGGAGCAGGAAAAATAAATTTCTGCTAAGCCACTGCTATTTATTTTATTTTATTTTATTTTATTTTAATTTATTTCTGAGAGAGAGAGAGAGAGAGACAGCATGAAACTGGGAGGGTCAGAGAGAGAAGGAGACACAGAATCCAAAGCAGGCTCCAGGCTCTGAGATGGCTGTCAGCACAGAGCCCAACACAGGGCTCGAACCCACGAACCATGAGATCATGACCTGAGCCAAAGTCAGACGAAGCCACTGCTTTTTAGACTCAAATTTCATAGCACCATTCTAAAATATCATTTGCTAACCGTCTATGTCCTTCTACTTAATAACGTTTATCAACACTGGGCTTTTCTGATTCTTTTTATTTTAAAGTTTCTTATTTTAATTTCAAGACAGTTAACCCACAGTGTTATATTTCTTTCAGGTGTCCAACATATACTAATTTAATGGCCTTTCTGATTCTTAAACTGACCTTGGCATCTCAAAGACACACCTTTGTCTACGAAGAGTGAACAGCATTTGAGCCCAAGAGTCTGTAAAAACATCTCTGCTTCTAGTTTTCAGGAATGCATGAAGCCCATTTCCTTACATGAGCCTACAAGGATCCTGCATTTTGTTTCAAAAATATCAACTCATTAAAATATTCACCACACCAGTTCAAAATGAAAATATTGGCTCATCAGGAGCAAAAAATTCACAGTTATTTTTTTAAAATCAAATAGTAGACACAGTTATAGTCAAGAGGATGGGTTCTGACTACCAAGAAAGCCACCTTGATCTCTAAATGAGTTAGTAGAAGTAGAGAGTCAAAGTCCTGGGCCGCTATGTATCAATCAGAGCATACCTTGAATTGAGTCCCAGACTTTGAGATAGAATTAAACTGAAGAAAATTCAAAAGAGACGACACAAAAACTAGGTCATATAAGCTGAAGGAAGATAATTATCTGTTTAGCTTAGAGAAGAAGCCTCAGAGGAAATGCTGTTGCTAACTTCAGACACCTCAAAGGATGTCACATTGAAAAAATTAATTACGATTTGCCTGTACTGCCCCCGAAGGCAGAAGCAAGAACAACGGGAGACAGGTTTTTGCGATGATTAAAGCTCTTCAAAGACAGAAAAAAAAGCCTCAGAAGGTTACGTTCGATCACTAAGGCCACCGACGTGCTAAGAACCAATAGAGGGGGTCCAAGAAGAATGGGCAGCTGGAATCGTAACCTTTAATCTTTCTACCCGAGGCTACCATTCCATGCTTTCGTAAATTCGTCCAAATATTTAAATCTATAGTATTAAAATCCAAGATACATACCAGAAATCAGAGTGAGCACTCAACTGTTAGCTCAATACATTCCGACCAAACCCAGGCAAGAGTCCCTCTCCCTAGACCAGTCTTTACAACTGACAATGGCACTTACTTTTATTTGCACACTTGATGAAGTATTTGACCAGACTACTGATTTCTTGCATCTTCTTCTGCCTGGTGGCTTGTGCTGAGGCTGATACGCCTGGTTTTGCGGTTTTCAGACATTCTGTTTCTTTTTGAACATATTTCTGTAAAAATCTTCAAGAAAACAAAGTGGAACTTCAGAAAACTCATTAAATGCTTAAGTTATTATAATAATTCTCAAAACTCCGTATGCCATTTTACAGAGAACAAGCCACAATGCTTTAATCAACGTACCACCTACATACAACAATTTTCTCTTTCAAGGCCTAGGCCCCACCACACCAATTTAAAGTCTGGTCTGGATCTGGAGCCTCCGTGATCTCGCCTTATTATTAAAAGTTTACAACGCTATAAGGGCTCTTGATTCTTTCTTACCTGTTATTCTGTACAACCCACCCCTTCCCTAGGCAGTTGGTAACACTTCCAGCCTTTGACTGAAGCCTGCCTGGAAAATATTCATGAGTAGCTGGAAGTGCCAGGCGCATCTCTGACCTATCTGATGAGCTTACCCAAAATACTCATCCTTAGATAATACCTAGAGTTGTGGTATTTGAAATACACTAAGTAACCAGAGGAAAAGAAGCATGCATTTTTCATGTTATCTGCACTGAAATCTGGAAGTCATTCTAGTACCATATTAGTGGTAAAAATAAAAGTGTTCTAAACAATAACAAATACTCATACTTCCTCTTCAATGAAAATGTTGTTTCATGTTTCCCAGTATTCTGTTAATTTAAAATATTCCACTCATGTTTCCTTAGTCTTATAATTTATTTCTAGTTAGACTTCATAGTGACAACCTGTATCTTAATGTAAAAAGGCATCAATTCTGTCTGCCACTCCAATCTAGCAATCAATTCTGTCTTTGCAATGAGTGAATTTTGTTTTTCTTAACTGCATATGTATACTATTCTGTAATTTTTTTTTTTTAATTTATTTATTTCTAGGAGAGAGAGAGAGATAGACAGCGTGAACAGGGGAGGGTCAGAGAGAGAGGGAGACACAGACTCTGAAACAGGCTCCAGGCTCCGAGCTGGCAGTCAGCACAGAGCCCGATGTGGGGCTCGAACCCACGATCCGCGAGATCATGACCTAAGCGAAAGTCAGACGCTCAACTGACTAAGCCACCCAGGCGCCCCTGTAATTTTTTTTGCTAAAATTTAACATATGGCACTTGCTTAGAACAATAAAGATGTAAAAATAACAAGGGCGCCTATGGGACTAAATCGGTTGAGCATACAGTTCTTGGTCTCAGCTCAGGTCATGATCTCACAGTTCGTGGGTTCAACCCCTGCATCAAACTCCACAAGCACTGACAGTGCAGAGTCTGCCTGGAATTCTCTCTTTCCCTTTCTCTCTGCCCCCACCCTCCTCTGTGTTCTCTCTCTCTCTCCCAAAATAAACAAACTTTAAAAGAAGTAAAAATAGGGGCGTCTGGGTGGCTTAGTCGGTTGAGTGTCAGACTTTCCCTTAGGTCATGATCTCGCGGTTCGTGGGTTCGGGCCCCGCGTCGGGCTCTTTGCTGACTGCCAGCTCAGAGCCTGGAGCCTGTTTCAGTCTGTGACTGCCTCTCTCTCTGACCCTCCCCTGTTCGCGCTGTCTCTCTCTCTCCTAGAAATAAATAAATAAATAAATAAAAGAAGTAAAAATAATAAAGTATTTTTTATAACTTAATTTTATTCTCAAATTGGAAATAAACTCTTTTGAACAAGTATGAAAGGAATTTTCTCAAATCTTCTTTTAAATTTATTTTGAGAGAGAAGCAGAGAGAGGATCCCAAGTAGACTCCTCACTGTCCACACACAGCCTAACATAGGGCTCGAACCCATGAAGCAGGAGATCATGATGTGAGCTGAAATCAAGAGTCAGACGCTGAACATACTGAGTCACCCAGGCACCCCAGAATTTTCTCTAATCTTGAGTGATATGTCTAAGACCTTGTACTGATTGAATAACTTAGAAATTTAACTTTTTCTATATGAACATCCTTTAAAAATTATGTTTCAGGTAACTATTAGGCACCAATTTTATATGCAAGGCACAAGGATAAATAAGACCTACATATACAGAAATATCACAGCAAATAAAAATGAAAGACAAAACTAAAGACGCTAAAAAGAATTAGAATGGGCTTTCTGCCCGTGGACACCGCCGAGTAAGCATCGATAAAGTCTCCCCTCCCACTGCCGTCATGTCTAAGTCAGAGTCTCCCAAAGAGCCTGAACAGCTGCGGAAGCTTTTCATCGGAGGTTTGAGCTTTGAAACAACCGATGAGACTCTGAGGAGCCATTCTGAGCAATGGGGAACGCTTACGGACTGTGTGGTAATGAGAGATCCAAACACCAAGCGCTCCAGAGGCTTTGGGTTTGTCACCTATGCCACTGTGGAGGAGGTGGACGCGGCCATGAATGCAAGGCCACACGAGGTGGATGGAAGAGTTGTAGAACCAAAGAGGGCTGTCTCGAGAGAAGATTCTCAAAGACCTGGTGCCCACCTAACTGTGAAAAAGATTTCCGTCGGTGGCATTAAAGAAGACACTGAAGAACATCATCTAAGAGATTGTTTTGAACAGTATGGGAAAATTGAAGTGATCGAAATCATGACTGACCGAGGCAGTGGCAAAAAGAGAGGCTTTGCTTTTGTAACATTTGATGACCATGACTCTGTAGACAAGATTGTTATTCAAAAATACTATACTGTGAACGGCCACAACTGTGAAGTAAGGAAGGCTCTGTCTAAACAAGAGATGGCTAGTGCTTCCTCCAGCCAAAGAGGTCGAAGTGGTTCTGGAAACTTCGGTGGTGGTCGTGGTGGTGGTTTTGGTGGGAATGACAATTTTGGTCGTGGAGGAAACTTCAGTGGGCGTGGTGGCTTTGGTGGCAGTTGAGGTGGTGGTGGATATGGTGGCAGTGGGGATGGCTATAACGGATTTGGTAATGATGGAAGCAACTTTGGAGGTGGTGGAAGCTATAATGATTTTGGCAATTACAACAATCAGTCTTCAAATTTTGGACCCATGAAAGGAGGAAATTTTGGAGGCAGAAGCTCTGGCCCCTATGGTGGTGGAGGCCAATACTTTGCCAAACCACGAAACCAAGGTGGCTATGGCGGTTCCAGCAGCAGCAGTAGCTATGGCAGTGGCAGAAGGTTTTACTGCCAGGAAACAAAGCTTAGCAGGAGAGGAGAGCCAGAGAAGTGACAGGGAAGCTACAGGTTACAACAGATTTGTGAACTCAGCCAAGCACAGTGGTGGCAGGGCCTAGCTGCTACAAGAAGACATGTTTTAGACAATACTCATGTGTACGGGCGAGAAACTCGAGGACTGTATTTGTGACTAATTGTATAACAGATTATTTTAGTTTCTGTTCTGTGGAAAGTGTAAATAAAGCATTCCAACAAAGGGTTTTAATGTAGATTTTTTTTTTTCGCACCCATGCTGTTGATTGCTAAATGTAATAGTCTGATCATGACGCTGAATAAACGTGTCTTTAAAAAAAAAAAAAAAAAGAATTAGAATGGAATACCTAAAAACAGCATCCCAATTCAAGTATTTCCCTTGTTTGGAATCTGAATGCCGATCTAAATGTTGAACAGTTTCAGGATCCCGGATAAGGCGCTTAAATTTCTCAACTTCTTTCTGGAAACGAAGAAGAACACGGTAATGGGTTGCCAATCACACACTCACTTCAAGGAAAGATAAAATTACAGCTTACTACCCTTCGCTCTGTAGCTCTATCGTGTTCCAGTTGACGACAGCAGATAAGCAGATCGTTAAGGGCTAGACTCATGGTTCAGAATTTCAGAAAACACGTCACTGTAAAAAATACATACATGCAAAATTACTTTAGACCTTCAGGTTGTGGTATTAATGCATAGTCAGGTCAAAGTATACAACCGGAGATACACTGTGTTTAAACATACAGTGGTTTTTCTTAATGTTTTCATGCTCAAATGAGATTTTCTAAGAATATATCAAAACAAAGCTTCAACGTGTAAATTTGTGTGCAGTAGTGGGATAAAAATAGAAAACATATAGTTTATCGCTCTGACATAAAAACAGAAAACCTAATTTATTGTTCTGGGACCTTTTCTTTTTTCTTCTTAAATTTTTAAAAATGTTATTTATTTATTTTTGGAGCGCCTGGGTGGCTTAGTCGGTTAAGCGTCCGACTTTCGCTTAGGTCACGATCTCGCGGTTCGTAGGTTCGGGCCCCGCGTCGGGCTCTGTGCTGACTGCCAGCTCAGAGCCTGGAGCCTGTTTCAGTCTGTGACTCCCTCTCTCTCTGACCCCCCCTGCTCGCGCTGTCTCTCTCTCTCTCTCCTAGAAATGGATAAAAACCTTAAAAAAAAAAATTAAAAAAAAAAAGTTATTTATTTATTTTTGAGAGACAGAGCGTGAGCAGGTGTGGGACAGAGAGAGATGAAGACACAGAATCCAAAGCAGGATCAGGCTCTGAGCTGTCAGCACAGAGCCTGACGCGGAGCTTAAACTCACTAACAGTGAGATCGTGACCTGAGCTAAAGTCGGACACTTAAACCTACTGAGCCACCCAGGTGTCCCTGAGGCCTTTTCTAGGAAACATAATATCTATAGATACTCAAATTAAAATGTAAAAGATGAACAGGAGACAGCCAGGTCAAGAACAAGGAAAAGGGCACAAAGGGATTTAACCCTTTAATAGCAGCACCCTTTCTTATATGTAGTGATGTGTCATTTGTTGAGCCAAAAGCGTAATTTGCTTGTGTTTTGGAATTGATACCTAGGAGGTTATCAGAGCTGCTAAGCCTTGCCTAGCACTCAAGGCTCACTTGGCTTTATGGTTCTCATTTAAAACATAAAGTTATAAAAACAATTGCGTTCCTGTTTTAAAAGAAAATACTACAGCGATATCCTTTGCAAAAGTCAAAAATCAACTACATTTTACTGGGCTTTAATCCCAATGCTGTAGTTTTCCTTCTCTTAGGTTTTTTTAACATAATCAAGCCTTCCTTTGAGGACCTTTAAAAAAAGTCCCATAAGAACAGCATTTTGTGTCATTAATTTTGAGTCTCTTTATAAAGAAGCTTCATTTTTGTTAAAGTATAAATGTTTACAAAGAAAATGTGTACTTTTTTGTGTATTACCTACCTCAAGAAGGAGAGGAGGGGAAGTCCTTTACTGATGCATTCACATAAATTCTATTCATTCTTTAAAGATCAAGTATGTTTCCCTGCCACTATTTAACTCACAGGATTTTAAAACTGGAACTGAGAGACCATCTTCGTACAAAGGAAGAAATAACCCCTACAAAATTATTTCGACACTCTCTTTATTTTTTTAATATATTTTTTTAATGTTTTATTTCTGAGAGAGAGAGAGAGAGAGAGAGACAGCGTGAGCAGGGGAGGGTAGAGAGAGAGGGAGACACAGAATCCGAAGACAGGGTCCAGGCTCTGAGCTAGCTGTCAGCACAGAGCCCAACACGGTGCTAGAACCCATGAACTGGGAGATCGTGAGCTGAGCCAAAGTCAGACGCTTAACCAACTGAGCCACCCATGTGCCCCTTCAACACTCTCTTTAAACACTCAGTGAAGGCACACTACCTAATGAGCTTACCTATTTCACTGGGAGAAAGGTCTAACTCGCTTCTCCATTTTTATTCATTGGTTCTTCCAACTCTTATCCCTAGTACAACCTCCTCTACGCTGCTGTAGATTACAGGTTGTTATTTACTTGACAGTCTTATTCATTGGGTCATAAACTTCTTAAGGAAAAGAGCTATTATTTTCATTTTCATGTTATCTTCATCTCCCTTCCTCACAATTTTGTCTAGGACTCTTCCCCCTTCTTACTCTTAACCCTCTTGCACCGAGTCAATACGGAAAATCAAACCGGGATTCTAACTGATGAAAACATGTGAGCAGTACCCGAAGAATCATAAACACAGGCACATTTATTTCTAGATATACTAAAAACATTGTTTGCAACATAAAAAAAAAAAAATTGCATGTTTACTGAACATGTGACACTTCCAGGAAGATGTAGGCCTCAACTTTTCTTTTTTTAAAGCTGTGGTTTTTCTGCTGACTTCTTTCTGTTTTTCTCTCCTCCGTTTCTCAAAGATGAATTACTTTCAAGAAAACACAACAGTTCAATCAGGAAATGTTCATTCACTGATACACGCAACATTTACTGAGCAACTACTGTGCTTGAGGTACTATATTAAGAGTAAGAGACACAAATCCTCCCTTGTGAACCAGTGAGGGAGAGTGAGGAAAAACGAGTATCCTGAAAAACCAATGTATAATTCCACATTTTAATACACGACTCAAAAGAAACACAGTATACAACAACAATGGAGAAGATCACCTCTGATAAGGTGCCAGAGAACACATCTCAGAGGAGGTTACAACAAAGCCAAGATCTGAACAGGTGCCAATCACTGAAACAGCTAGAAGGCCAACATTTCAGGGGAGACTAGTATCACCAAAAGGTCCAAAGATGGAAAAGTGCATGCCACGTTGGAGGAACTGAAAGAAAACCAAAGAACTACAAAGTAGTCAGCTAAAGCTGACTGAGCAACAGATCATGTAGAATTCGATTAATACATTCCTCCCAAACTATGTAGATTCCACTACCAACACACAACTGAACGATGCACTTTTTCTAAGCAACAGCCTCCGAATTGGCAAATCCAACGTTCCTCTAACTCCATCAAGTTGATCGCTCTGCAGAATTTGACAGTGAACCCTACACCCCATCTTCCTGCATATAATTCTGCCCTCGGCATGCCAGTCTTTCCCAATGTAATAGTGGGGGCTCTGTAGTTAGATCGGGCCAGTTCAAATCCTAGTCCTGTCATTTACAAACTGTATAACCTCGAGCAAGTTAGCCACTTCCTCTAAATTTCAGTTCTGTCAATGATAAAATGAAAAACAATACTAGAACCTAGCTCAAAGGTATCCACGTGTGTGTGTTTAACACAGTGCCTGGACCACAGAAAATGTCACCAAATTGCTAGCAATTATCATAATACTTCGTTTCCTAAGTCTCTTTTACCGGTTGTTCTTCTACCCACACCTGCAAGACTATCTTTGTGTCCTTACTTCTCAACCTATGCTCTCCCAGGGCGAGCTCATCAGCCTCTAAGACCCCCATGCTAAAATCGCCCACATCTATTTCATCCAACGCCAGACATCACTCTTGAGCGTCAAGAACCTTCCGCCGCTTTGTGCCTTTACACGCATTTCCCCTTGTCTGCAAGGCCCCTATCATCCCCCTCGGGGGCAAGTGAACGACTGGAGGTCTCACCACACAACCTCCTTTACTCCTCTGCCATCACAGCTCTCTCTCAGGTTACCCTCCTCTGAGCTCTAAGAGTCCCTTTACTTCTTGTACCCAACTGGGCGCATGGGTGGCTCAGTTTGCTGAGCATTAGACTCTCGATTTCTTCTCAGGTAATGATCCCAGGGTCGTGCGATCCAGCCCCGCGCTAAGTTGGAGCCTGCTGGGGATTCACACTCTCCCTCCCTCTGCTCTTGCAAAGAATAAAAAAGTAAATAAAGTAAAATTCTAAAACTTCTCGGTACCTGGCAAGAACAGCAGCGAACGCTCTGGAATCCTCACCACGGGCCAAAATGATCGCAGGGGAGACAGCACAGCCCCGGAGCATAAACGACCACCAGAATTCCAGCTCCAGCAAAAGTCACTTCACAGTCCGCGCTCCTACGCACGCCAATCTAGTTGACACCTCAACAGATGCTCTTGGGTCAAATCTAATAAAGAAGAGGGCGTGGGAAGCATGATTAATCAAGTCACCCAGTGACGTCTGGGCCGTACGGGGACAGGGAAAGGGGACGCGCTTGAGGATTCAGCGCGGCGTTTGGAAGAAGAGCCCCGGCTCGTAAGTCCGCGACGCGATCGCAGCGAGGGCGGCAGAAAGCGCGGCGTCGAGGAATGGGCCGCTAGGGCGCAGCAGGGGAGGCCGGCGACCAGGGGGCTGGCGCAGAACGGCTCGGACGCCCCTCGAGTCCTCCACCCGCAATGCTCGCCGCGCCCCTACCGCTGCACGGAACGGCCAGAGTGCAGTTTCCCGAAGCGGCGGCCGAGACGGCTGCAGCCGAAACCCGGCTCCACTCGTCTTTCCCCGCGGCCGCCGCAGCTGCAGCCAGGGGGCCTCGCACTCTTCCCGCTTCCGGCTCAAAGGCCGCATGCCCGCGCAGCCAGGGTCTCCGGAAGAAGTCAGGGTGACCCAGGGGCGGGCACCGTCTGCCCATGCGCGACGACCCCCGCACGCTCTCCACCACTGCGCCCGCTCCCCTCAAAACATTCTGCTCGTCGGAGCAAACGCGCCTGCGCGAGGCCAGCCAATGGCGCGCGACCTTGCGTCCGCCACTCGCCCTCTGAGCCGGGCTCGAGCGCTTGCATCGCACCTCCTCCCCGCCCTCCGCCCCACCCCTCCGCATGCGAGGACGGAAGTGACGACAGATCCGACGGGAACGGAGGCGGGGTGCATTTAGGCGCCTTTCTTTCTCCGGCGGAAGCGATTGGCGGACGGGAGGCGAAAGAGGCGGGACAAGTTGCCGCGGGTTCGGTGCCGCCACTGGAACCGGGAGATGCGGCGCAGGAGCTGTCGGTGTGTCGGCTTTCACCTGAGTCTCGTCTCCTACTGCGGTTCCTGCTGCGGCTTCGGTCATGCTGTTACCCTCGGACATCGCGCGGCTGGTTCTGGGTGAGTGCGGGCGCGGGAGGGACGGAGAGTGGGCCTGGCGGAGCAGGACGGAGCGACCTTTGGGGCCAGAGGCTCTCCCGGGGCGGGGAGGCTCCGGGGCTTTGCCTGCGCGCTTGCAAGTTCTGACCGGCGGCCGGTCTCCCCCAGCCGGGCTCTCGCGCCGCGCAAGCCTCTGTGTGCGGAGGCCGCGCTCCACGGGGGCTGCGTGGCGAGGGGAGGGCCGAGGCGAAGCCCCGGCGGAGCACCTGAGGCCCGGATTCGGAGGGGGAGCCAGGCCCGCACGCTTCGTCGGGACCCCTGCAAGGAGCCTTGTGGACGAGACGGACGGAGCCTCGTCCAGACCAGGAAAAAGGAGGACGTCCCCGAGCCACCCGGTCGTGCAGAAAGACCTTCCCGACGCCCTGTTCGTCCCTCGTCCTTAGAACTACGAAGGTGGGGCGGACGGGGGTGATTTTGCCTCCCCATCCCTCACCCCTCCCTCCCCACAGTCGTCCGGCGCCGAGCTCTGAAATGCCCGCTGCTGGTTCTAAAGCAGCAGCAATTCCTGATCGTGGGACGGGCGAGAGATTTCGCAGAGGAAATGCCTTCCAGTCGAACGGTTTTCTAGTCCTGATGGTTCGTGTTTTCCTCCATTTGAGGACGGTCGGTTCTGCGGGCCCGTTGTCAGCGCGTACGTACGTCTGTGTGGGAAACGGGTTTTGTCGTTTGGCCCGGGAAGGAATGGAGAGGGTCGTGCTTGAGCCCCAGAGCCGTGGGAAGCCCAAACCCTCAGGCCCCGAGCCGGTGGTTTGCAGACCTCGTTCGCGACAGCCCTGAAAGTAAATGGTAAACACCTGTGACGAAACTTCCCGTCGCGTCCACAGGACTTGCTGTTGTTACCTTATTGTTAGAAAATCCCATTTGTCTCTCTTAAGTGCTCAGCCCGTCCAGAAAAACAGGGCATGGTGCGCGGGCCTTTTGATGAACACGCTTTGCAGGAAGCAGGAGAGGGTAACGGTTCCACAGTCCGTTTTTGGAGAAACTAATGACCTAAGGTTAATATTTTTGTTCACGTTTGGTTAATTTTTTTGTCCATTTTATCAGAACGTATCAATAGTTAGCCTCCATCTGTATCTGTGAGAAAAAGCTGGCTGTCTTGTAATTGTTACATCTAAGAGGTTTATATGTAAACTCGTCTAAAGTAGACTTTTCACAGTGTACAGGATAACATTGACGTACTTTGTTTTTTCCTGCAGGCGTATCGTTTGGTTATAAATTGAAAGTTGTGGCAATCTGGTTAATCCACTCGGGTTTCTATGACTATAGTCCTTAACAGGGTTTCTCTCCTTGTTCGATGTTGATGTTTGGGGCCACGTAATTATTCATGGGGAGCTGTCCTGGGCATCGTGAGATGGTTAGATCCCTGGCAGCTCTGGAGAGGTGCCAATGAGACCGCACTCCGACCCCCACCCACTTAGGACATTTAAAAAGTGTCTCCACAGAGTGCCAGTATGTTCCCTGGAGGGCAAAATCACCCCCCAGCTAAAAATAATTGGTCTTAAAGCATTAAAGCAATAAGATTTTCTAACGAATAGTTCACACCTGCTTGTGTTCCCCACAAGCCACCTGCTCTGCTTGACTTGCTACGTTTTTTAATGGATAAAAACTCCAAATTTGTTGTTTCTTACCCTAAAATTCTTTGTCATTCACGTTCCATTTTAATTGCCACCAATCCTATTCCTCTGCCTTCTTTCGGATTTCTGTCATGGCTTTTCTCGTATAGTCTTGCTACTGATGTTTACTGTTGAGCAAATCTGCCTGAAGCATTCACACTACATATCCTAGTCTAAAAGTTGAAAAATTCGTGCACTTAACCAAAATTTCAAGTTGTCCAGAAGAGTATAGCGTAATACAAAAAAAAAAAGAAAGTCTCCCCACACTCATTCTTACTTTTTTTTTTTTTTTTTAATGTTTTATCTATTTCTGAGAGACAGACACAGCGTGAGCAGGGGAGGGTCAGAGAGAGAGTCAGAGAGAGAGGGAGACACAGAATCTGAAGCAGGCTCCAGGCTCTGAGCTGGCTGTCAGCACAGAGCCCGACACGGGGCTCGAACCCACGAACTGTGAGATCATGACCTGAGCCAAAGTTGTACGCTTAACCGGCTGATCCACCCAGGCGCCCCTCGTTCTTACTCTTCTCATTTAGTATTATATATCTTGAAGCTTATGTTAGCACCTGGTGATCCTTAATTCCGAAGCTTAGAGGCTTAAAATGGTAATACTTTCATTATTTCATCATGATTCTTCTTTCAGTACAAAGCACCTTCTTCATCTCTCTTTTTGTTGGTTCCTCTTATGCATAATGTTCTTTAAGCAAATCTTTGAGTGCTTTGCTTAGTATCGGACAGTGTGCTAAATGCTAGGAATGAGAATTAAGTTCTCCCTTTGGAGTTCACATAATTAGGGTTGTTTTTTTTTTTTTTAACTCTTCCACACGTACACCCTCCTGCCCCACCAATACTTTTCCTAGACCCCACCTCACATTCTAACGCCATGTTAACTTATTTTTTTGTGAGATGTACGTGATATATACTGCACTTAAGCCATTTTAAAGTTGTACGGTTTTGTGGCATTAAGTACACTTAACGTTGTCCTGTAACCATCACCATTATCCACCTTTAGAAGTTTTCTGTCTTCCCAAACTGAAAATCACTTTTTTGTCCTTGGTATTCCTGATCTGGGATGAATAAGACAGGCTTCGGGGGTTCTTGGAGTCCCCAGAACTCTCTGTAAAGGCTTATATACAGGTTGGGTATTTTTATGGGTGTAGGATCCAGAACTTTTTTTGGATTTCTAAATTTGTTTGTGCCTTCCTGTATGATTCAGAATCCGTTCAGGAAGACTTAAACTAATGTGAGTATTTAAAATGAAGGGATTTAGTGAGAGAGAATTGGATACACTGGTGATAGAAAAACTAACAAGACATGAGCTGACTCCGAGTAGCTTCTGCAGGAAGCCACTGTGATAATCAGGAGGACAAGGAGAGGTGAAGCAACCCAGAGGCTGGGTTCTCTCTGGGGAGGATGGAAGGTAGACTTGCCTGGTAAGGGAGCACTTGTCGCAGAGAAGATTCTACTAAGGCGAAGAAGAAATGAGAGGAAACAGTATCACTCCAATCTCCCACTGGTGCTTCCCATTGTTTGGATGCCCCCAGAAGCAAGCTGACCTGGAGCCTAGGAAACATTGCCTGCAGGGGGGTCAAGTTTCCTATCTTTCCTACCAGAGGAAGAGGAAGAAGAGATTGAAAGCAAACAGATCTAGGATTGACACACTCCTGGGTGATCAAGAGACACTGATCCTATTCACATTTATATAGCTAAGACATTAAAAATACTTAAATATTTACAGACGTGCAACTGTGATCATAACATTCCTTTTTGCCTACTGAATGTCATTTAGCCAGGTTTTCTGTTTTTCTTCAGATTGTGTTTATTCATATTATTATTTGTTCATAAAAATGTCATTGCTGACATTTACAGCTTTTTATGATCCTTACCCATTCTGTCTTTTCAGTTGTATCTCCAGCTCTTCTCCGTCATATCCGTTGTGCTTCCTCCAGACTGGGCATGCTCTCCATGTATGCTTTTCATCAGCTTTGTTGGGATGCCCCAACCATCCTTCAAGACTCAACATCTTCATGATAGTCATAATTTTCCCCAAGTCTAGTAGTACTTTCTCTAGCCCCTCTCCCCCCAGGAAGTAAGTCCTGCTGTCTTACTACCTTTGCTTTGTATTGCACTTACTTGCATATGTATCTTCTGGGTCATTTTTAGATAACTTCTTTATAGTCAGAAACTTTTATTTGTGAATCTAGTCATACAGTTAAGTCTTCCCAAGAATCACTTATGTTTTTAAAATGTCATTAAATATTGAATAATTTCTGGGAAAGTATTAGAATATGTGAAGGAGATTGGGGCACTTGGGTTACTCAATCAGTTAAGCTTAGGTTGGGCTCAGGTCATGATCTCACGGTTCGTGAGTTCAAGCCCCATGTTGGGCTCTGACAGCCCAGAGTCTGGACCCTGCTTTGGATTCTGTGCCTCCCTCTCTCTCTGCCCCTCTCCTGCTCACACTGTCTCTCTCTCTCTCTCTCTCTCTCTCTCTCAGAAATAAAACTTTTTTTTTTTAATTAAAAAAAAATATATGTGAAGGATATATTTTCAAGTAGGGGGTTTTGAGACCTCTTGCTTTCTTCTTCATCAGGCACCTTTCTTTCTTTCTCCATAAATAGAATAAAAGAGGTTCACTCTTGGCATTCAGTTCCTAAAATGTTAATGCTCTAGGTATAATTAGGATATTATCCTTACTTCTCTTTTCCAGTTATCTTTCCCCTTTGGTCTGTTTTGTTATTCATTACTACCTCCACTGAATAGCAGGCAGAAGACAATATTGAGAAAAAGGGAAACTCAGGCATGTTTTCTTACCTTTTGTACATCTTTGACAGTAAGTTTACAAAAAGCTGTTTTTAGGAGTAAAGGAAAAATAATGTTAATTGAAGAGTAATTATTTGTATTTTAATGAGAGATCCTTTGATCCCTGTTTTGTATTTTC